TACAACCATTCATTTAATGACCATTCAAAGTTGCAATGGCATTGAAAAAAGTGACTAATCTGTTTTCACACTTATGACCATTGCAGCATTCCCACAGTCACATGATCAAAATTCAGACCCTTGGCATGTATTTACAATGTTGCAGTGTCCCAGTGTCAGCTTTTGCGATCTTCTGACAGCAAAGTCAATGGGAAGCCAAATCCACTTAACAAATTCACTTAAGACAGGGAGGTCAGGGAAAGTGAGGATGTGAAGAGATGCAGAGCAGGCTGGAGAAGGTGTGAAAGGGGCGTGGTATGGGTCAGTAATGGTGAGAGGAAGCGTATAAAAACCAGTGTGGGTCAAGGAGGGTGTGATGGAAAGTGCAAGGAAGTACGCAGAAGGGAAAAGTCCCCCGAGGGGGAGGCGCAAGGATGGACTGTAGAGGGTACATCGCAGATATGTAGGCATGTTAGTGAGGCACCACAAGGGACAAGAAGGGTGCATGATTGGCTGCAGCATGAGCACAGAGGGGCTGGGGAAGGTGCGCAGGTAGGGGAGATTTATACCACCAACTTACAATCTTCCCTGCTGGCTTCCCCTTTGATTTTTCTGGGGAAGCTTCAGGGAAGATTGCAAATGGCAAATATGTTATGTGGGGCACTGCAGCTGGTCTTAAGTATTATCAAGTACTCAGATCAAGATCGTGTGATCACGGGGTTGCCAGGATGGCTGGAACTCTGAGGACCGGTCACCTTGAGCCAAGGTGGCGCAGCAGTTAGAGTGCAGTACTGCAGGCCACTTTAGCTGACTGTGTTCAGCAGATCAGCGGTTCAAATCTCACCGGCTCAAGGTTGACTCAGCCTTCCATCCTTCCGGGGTAGGTAAAATGAGGACCCAGATTGTTGGGGGCAATGTAAATATATATATACATTGCTTACTGGTGTACACCGCTTAGAGAGTGCTTGCACTTAAAGCGGTATATAAGTCTCATAAATAAATAAATAAATAAATAAAATAACTATTTGTTCAGCATCATCATAATTTCAAATGGTTGCTGAACAAATACCCATAGGTTGAGGATTACTGTAGCCCAAAACATATCCTTCCAAATCTGAAATATCATTATTCTACTCTCTCCCCTTCATAGGCACTTTAAAAAGTGTGGATGAGATTAAAAATTAGTACCATCTAAAAGCCTAATACCATTTCTAAAAATGTGTTCTATTGCCTTTAAACCAGGGGTCCCAACCCCCGGTCTGTGGACCAGTACCGGGCCGCGGCATGCCAACAATCGGGCTGCACAAACAAGCAAAGCCGGATCCGTAAAATGCAGGCAGCACACAAAACCACGCACCTTTCAGTCCACGGAAAAATCTCTCTCCACGGAACCAGTCCCTGGTGCCAAAAAGTTTGGGGACCTCTGCTTTAGACCATAATCTTGATTATGCAATACTAAAGCATTATTTAAAACAAAAATAAAGTGAGATACCTCACTTCTGTATATCTTATTTACTATCTTACGTTGTACCTGTCATTCCTGTCATTACACATCCTATATTTTCAGTTATTCTGAATAAGTGAGTCACTGTGCTCGAATCCAGTAGCTTGTCCTAAAGGATAAAACAAAACACAATTTTAAGATGTTTATTTTATCAGATTTTTAAACTGCCCATCTCCCTCATAGAGGTAGTGAGGTATACATCGTTAACATGGAATAAGGTTTCTTTTTTACTTCAACAAGGAAAAATATCTAATTCATGTCATATTAGGACATTTGATGGTTGAGAACAGGAGCATTTACTTGAAAAAAATTCTTCTTAAAATATTCTTGATTCCAGTGACATAATCATAATTTCATTTTATCATAACAAAGATACAAGTCACCTTGTACAACAACAACAAAGATACAAGTCAGCCACGCATATGGTCAAGGATGATCCATACACTCATACTAAAGGTTTTGCTAAGAAATACTTACAGGTACTTTTTTCTGTGTGACAACAACTGCGCAGTCCTTTCCGCGAACAGCTACTGATGTCAGTCCACCCTGGTTTATGGCCTTGAATGCATATTCTAGTGATACATTGAACACAGATTTTACCATCAGTACTTGTAGCAGTGACAGCATCAGATACAAATTATATCTTAGACCAGTGGTTCTCAACCTGTGGGTCGGGACCCCATTTGGGGTCGAATGACTATTTCACGGGGGTCACCAAACAACGCAGTCCGCCATTTTTTTCCCCTTTTCCTTAGCTGTGCTACTCCCTTTTATTCTATTGGCTTTCAAAAGCCAATAGGAATTGTCCAGCTGTCTCTGCCCTGCTGAGCCCATCAAAAGTCCCATTCTGCAAACGGTGCTGCACCAGTTGAGTAGTCCTTGACTTACAACCGGTTGGGGGTCGCGGCATTAAAAAGGTTGAGAACCACTGTCTTAGACCAATGGCCCCCAACCTTTTGGGTGCCAGGACTTGTTCCCTGGACAGCATTTTTTTGGGTAGACTGGGAAGGGTGTGATTTCACTCCTGCCTGGATCCTGCATGTGCATGGATGTGGCTTTGCTCGCTTGTGCAGCCTGGTTTCCACTTGCTTGCATGGCCCAGGAGTTGGGGACCCCTGCCTTAGACTAAATGTTGTACCATTTAAAAGTGATGCTATTGTATTTTTTATCTGAAACATCCAGATAGCTATAATTGAACTGTGATGGTATAGTGGTTAGAATGCAATATTGCAGGCTAATTCAGCACTGCCAAGAGTTCAACCCTGATCGGCTTAAAGCTGACTCAGCCTTCCATCCTTCCAAGGTTGGTAAAATGAGGACCCACTGTTGGGGGCAATAGGCTGACTCTGTAAACCACTTAAGAGAGTGCTGTAAATCACTATGAAGCAGTATATAAGTCTAAGTGCTGTTGCTATTTAGAATTTTCATATTCTGTATTCACATTTGTCTGTACTATCAGGTGCTGAACTGAGTCTCATACAGAATTATGACTCTAGCACAATTCTTGCTTGGTGTATAAAAATACAGCATGCAAAATATAGTAGAAGTCTAATCAGACTCGCAGACTATTTGGGATAGAATTTAATATGTGGGGTCAGTAACTCATAAGCCTCATAAAACTTCACAGAAGCATATCTCCACATGCCAATATATTCTGAATTTTTAAAGGACTCACAAGTAAATGCCAGAGGGAAAGCAGACTACATCTTTACCAACTTTCTTCAAACTGGGGACCTTTGAATGTACTGGCCTACACTTCCCAGTACAGAATGTGCAGCTAATATTGCAGAAAACTGGGAATTATGTAAACCATAGTACAACGCACCTGAAAAGGCACCCATCTGAGCTTTAATCCTGATAATTCAGAGTAATGCCACAAAGTCAGCATTGAGAAGAAAAAGCCACAAAGTGGTAAACCTTCGCAGCTTTATTTTCCTCTCCCCGTCTACTAGCGCTTGAGTATACATCCTCACTTTCCCGTACCATTTTGCTTCGCTTTCGCTTTCAAGCAATGACAAAAGGTTTTCGCTGCCTAAAACTGGTCGTCTTTTCAAGCAGCACGCCCACACGTTTACTTTGAAGAAAGTATCAAAGCGCCTTATACAGTAGGTGAATGGCTTAAAAAGCCATTGTGATTGCAATACAGCCTCTTTGGACGCTACTGCTCCGCCGTGTCTCTGTCGGCGCACCACTTCTGAGAAAGAAATGAGTAGCTGTGCATTTTCTTCCTCTCTTTTAAGAGAGAGAAAGAAAAGCGCCGTCCTGCATCGTGACGAGGCGGTTTTTGCCGCTCACTTACCTACTTGATATAGGCGCCCTTCAGGGGAAAAGATAGTGATATGCCGATCAAACCCGGCGCTGGACCCTCGAGACATGGTCGTGCGGAAAAAAGTAAACGAAGCAGCAACAGCGGGGAAACTGCCCGCAGACACAGCATGCAAAAGATTTCTACTTCCAGCGGCTGGGGGGGGGGAGTAAGCGAGATGTAGCACTTCCGGGTTACCTGCTCTCGCGCAGGCGCAACTAGGAGACTTTCCTCCCAGAAGCGGAAGAGCTAGTACTTGTTTCCTATTCGTTTGTTCCTTAGTCACGGTGTGCAACGCGCAGACGCAGAAGCAACGATAATCATGCCGACCAAAATGCGCTTTAAGAGTAGGGGCAAGAGTAAAAAGCGCTTTTTGACAGATGGCACGTGCGACTGTTTAAAGAGCGATTATTCTGGCGCAGAACTTTGGTAGCTCTGTTTGAACGTGTGAATCGATGTCTCGTGACGAAACCTTTGCAAATCGAGTAACAGGAGATTGTACTTCATTACGGAATCGTGTAATCGAGCTAGGATTGTTGCTTTTTTAAAGACTTTTTAGACAGATTTCAAGATAATCAAGGCACGGTTAGTAATTGGATAGCAAGCTAGGAGGAGTTCCCAGAGCTATTTGTATAAACTAAAAACCAAGAAAAAGATTCAGAAGACGATAACAGACTGCTGTCAATGAAGGAGAGCTGTGTTGATCCATGACAGAAAAAGAAATCGGGCGTCTGGCACCACCTTTTCCAACTAACAGATTGATTATTAAAAGGTGTAATCTTTCATGAATTGCAGAAAATGTGTTGATCCATTTATGTCTTAAATTTACATTTAAGTAAATTTCTATCTGTACTTAATTTTTGTTCATGTATCTCCATTCTTGAATCTGTATAATCTGGAAATTCTATAAGCATACTTAACACAGAACTGGCTGTTTCTCAGTCATTCTTCCAATATTTAGTGTCCTTCCTTCCCTCCCTGTTTTTCTACTTATGTCACCAAAGTTTATCACAACCCATCAAACAGAATTTTGGAGCAGTGAATAGTCAAATTCTAAAGTGAATAATTGTTTCTCATAAGATGAGCAATATGGTACCAAGACGTTTATCTGGAAACGTCTGGAAAGGAAAAACATAAGAAAAATATATGGTTACTGGTGAAAAGCAGAGAAATAAGAATATACAACTCATAAGACATCAAAGAAGCAATTGGTTTCAACAATAAATATATTTATCAAGAACCATTTATAAATTATAAATAATTTCCAATATTTGTAGAATTAAGTATTTTTGATGTAACTTAGGGATTCAGTTAAGTCCAGGTCTGTTGTCTTAGAAAATGAATATATTTAACTAGTTTATTTGGAATTTATTTCAAATAAGGGTGACATGCATACATTTTCACTCTGAACAAAAAAAAAGGCATCTTTTATTTCTTTCGAAGACAGAGCCACTTCACTGGAATTTCATAAGAAGCTCTCTTGGACAAGTTGTCATCATAGGGAATGTGCCATGTGTTACCATCAGTCTGCACAATTGTATCGTATGGCAAAGCATCCTGTTAAATAATGAAAGGCAGAGCTGCATTATACATTTTACACAAGAATATTAAGATTGAATAATATATTTTAAACCAAAAATAGGAAACTTGGTATCCTCCGAGTGGCTAGTAGCAATGATCTAAATTGAACCAAGTTGTACCCTCCCCATCTCCATCTATACATTCACCCTCTTTTATGTAAGGATACAAGCACAGCATTGATAAAAATAGTTTCTCATAAAGGAATGTAATCCAAAAGCAATCTTTCAGTAGACTAATGTATAAATATTAAACATTACAAATTATGCTGGGTTTTCTTTACAAAGACTGCTACTAGATAATTATTAAACAAGAATAGCACTAATACGTGCAACAATACCTCAAATGTTAAAATCTTCCCTGGTACGTAGCTTGATACCACCATCTGATGTCCACGTTGCCATTTAAAAAATAAGCGACGAGTAACACTATTAGAAAGAACAGCTTTGTGATCCCGTAATAGATCTCTAGTTACTATCATACAGTGACCACCTGAGTGAAAACTGGCATAGAGCAGAAATGGATCATCTTTAGACCTATTTTTTTAAAAAAAGGCAAACAGAAATATTATGTACACAATTGCATAGTAAAGTACTATAATTATTTCAAGATTCTAACCATGAGGCATTTAACTTGCTTGATCTTACCATTATGTCCATATCATAGTTATCTATTTACTTATATGTATATGTATATGTACTGATATTTACAATTTATATGTACAATAGAACATATGAAATAGCTGGGTAATAGCATTCAATATTTAGATCAAGGTAACAGTACCAAATATTTAGACCAAGGATGCAACCCTGCATACTTAAACAATGTACAAGGGCAATTTGAAAAAAAACCTCCATTTGGTTATCAATGACACTCGCAGATAGAGAACTTTTATTATACACATTAGAAAACTACAACATTATATTACTTCTTGACATAATCGCCATTCAAATTGAGGCACTTATCATAACGTCTTACAAGATCTGAAATTCCTTAGTAGTTGCTTGGCGCCAAATCTGGGCTATAGGGGAGGTGATCAAAAACATCCCAATGGAACTGCTTCAAAAGTTCTTGGGTGCATCTAGCGGTGTGTGGGTGAGCATTATCGTGAAACACCATAATGGAAGTGGTGCCATAGAAAATCCTGTCAAATATGGAGTAGGGATTTTGGTTTCAGTATCGATCTGCATATTTGGCAAGAATTGTGGGAAAGAAATAGGAAACTCACTCTAGCTACCTTGTACAAGGAAAATCTCTACAAGATGTTTTATAGATGGCACTTCCCACCCGCAAGGCTAGCCAAAATGGGTCCAAATATCTCACCTTTATGCTGGAAATGTAAAACAGCAATAGGATCATATTACCATATGTGGTGGGAATGCCCAAAGGCTTGTGAGTATTGGAATAGGATACGAAGATAGTTGAAAGATATATTAATATTGGACTTAGAGTTAAAACCTGAACTTTTCCTGTTGGGAATAACCACGGAGAAATACAATAAGGGAACAATCTATTTGCTGTTATATGTCTTGACTGCAGTTAGGCCTGCGTTCGCGCAAAAATGGAAGAGCAAAGAAATTCCCACAGAGGAAGAGACACTATATAAAATATTACAATGTGCGGGAATGGACAGGCTCACAATGGTATTGAAAGACAAATGTAGATCAGTTTATTTCGAAACCTGGGATAAATTTTACCGCTGGAAGGATTTGTGGAGGATGGTTGGGATTATAAGCTAGTGTTAAGATAGAAATATATGTAATTTTAGAATAAGTATTGTATGTAAAATTTAGATGTATATTCAGAGATGAAGAACTGATTGTAAAATGAGGAATAATTTGATAAGAATGTATATACTGGAATGTCATGTTATAGCCAATGTTTTTTTAATTGTATTATAAATAAAATTTTGAAAAAAAAGAAAAAAAATCCTGCCAAATATGAAGATGCAAAAGGAATACTCCTAGTGAAGTTCATGGAGCATGGATTGACCATCAATTCAGATGTCTACTGTAAAACATTACGAAAACTCAGACAAGCCATCTATAACAAGTGTCGGGGCATGCTGACTTCTGGTGTGGTGTTGGTTCACAATAATGCTCACCCCACATTGCTAGACGCACCCAAGAACTTTTGAAGCAGTTCCGTTGGGATGTTTTTGATCACCCTCCCTATAGCCCAGATTTGGCGCTGAGCAACTACTACTAAGGAATTTCAAACCTTGTAAGACGTTATGACAAATTGAATGGTGATTATGTCAAAAAGTAACATAATGTTGTAGTTTTCTAATGTGTATAATAAAAGTTCTGTATTTGCGAGTGTCTGTCATTGATATCCAAACGGAGGTTTATTTCCGAATTGCTCTCATATTACAAATCTGAAGACATCCAACCTAAATGCTTAAGTCACCAGGGAACATTTTTAGTTTCTACTAAATAGCTCTCCAAGTGAAACATTTTGATTCTTGGTTTCCCTATGGATTTGTTCTAAGAGTTTATGATAGAATATGTACAACTATATTATATTAATAAACAGAAATTTACTGATTTTAGCTAAAAATAGGTAATTACATTTCCTATCAGTTCAAAGAAATAAACAGAGGTATTTGTTAAGTGAAATGTATGTCAACATTTTTTGTTTTAAATTGAAAAATTCCATTTGATAAGAAGTTTATTAAATTGTATTTAAATCAAATTTAAAAAGACCAGTTACAAGATACTGTGTCATATTCATTTTTTCTGTTGGAGATATAAAAATTTGAAGAATCTCATAGATCGATATAATTGGTTATGTGATTAGTTGATATCTTTTTGGAACAGAGTATTCATTTTTATCAACAGATTTATGGGAAAATCTTTAGACGTTAAAGATGTTAACATTTTAAAGATGTTAACATCTTCTATATGTTTCTATGTTTTGTTCTATTAATGATATTGTTAGCTGTGGGGGGGGAGTTGGATATATAGTTGTTTTGTCAATTTTTCTTCTAATTTGTAAATAAAAAACATTATGGATTGAGGGTTTTAATAGTCTGGTTCTTTATTACATTCAAACGTAATTAGGTATGCAAAGCTGTTGCTTGGTAAACAAGGAATGCATTGTTGTAGACAAAAGAATGAAAAGGCTGCATTTGTCTACTCTATGGGAAAATATTACACAATTGCAAAATGAGATGTATCAAGAATATATAGCATTGTTATATATCAGTGGTTCTCAACCTTTTTAATGCCGCGACCCCCAACCGGTCGTAAGTCGAAGACTACTCAACTGGTGCAGCACCGTTTGCAGAATGGGACTTTTGGCGGGCTCAGCAGGGCAGAGACAGCCTGGACAATTCCTATTGGCTTTTGAAAGCCAATAGAATTAGACTCTATTCAAGAGAGTCTATTCTATTGGCTTTCAAAAGCCAATAGAATAAAAGGGAGTAGCACAGCTAAGGAAAAGGGGGGAAAATGGCGGACTGCGTTGTTTGGCGACCCCTGTGAAATGGTCGTTCGACCCCAAATGGGGTCCCGACCCACAGGTTGAGAACCACTGTTATATATGAAGTACAGTATACTATTTTTGTTAATTTCAACCTCAATGCTTATATTGCAACATGAAACTATTGCAAATATTTCTAAAGATAGTTTCTAAAAATCAAACAGCATACGTATTATTAGTGAAGAAGAAGTCTGCTTTCTTCTGCATGTCATCCATGTCTCTTTTTTTCCACTGAAATGAATTGTTCAGCATGTGTTTCCGCCCGAGGACAAGCAACCGATGATACTTCTGTGCTAGGTAGAAGACCACATCCAGCAGCTACGTGGGGGGAAAAAGTGTTTTAAAATGTGGATCTTGTTCATTCTTTCTTTCTAGATTAGTGATGAATCACAAGTATGATCCCTATAGATTTGTCTTCCCAAGGCATTTATGAAGAACTGAAAAAAATCAGAATTTGTTAAAACGTTGGGTTTAGAAAAATCTGGCTGAAAATGGAGAAGGTTCCTCCCACACCCATATTCTGAGTGGCTTTTCTTCTTTTCATACTACTGACTTACTAGTTTCCTTGAGAAAAAGTGGAAATAAAATGATCACACTGAAACTAGAACATTTACAGATTTGCCTAGGTGTGCAGCACAGCAGGAAGAAGAGGACATAACAAGGCAAGGAAAGAAATTTGTTACAAGAATGGCATAAAGTTAGACATCTGAGGAGTTCTTTCAGACAATGAACTTACCCCATGTCAGAAAGAAATTCTGAATTAACTTAAGCGTTGTGTATTCTTGCAACAATTCAGCTTCCTGACCTTGCCTTCCTGCAATATTAGAGTCTGTGTCTGTACACTATTATGCATCTTAATCATGATGATCCAATTTTCATAGTCTTCTGGGATCAACATGAGACCAAATCACTGAGTTCCAGAATGTGCTAGGGTGAAAGTGATTTGTTATTTTGTAGTTCAGTATGTTGCATAATTCCAGCTAACGCGTATCCCCAAACCTAAGACCACATGATTTTTGCACTGTTTTAAGAATTCTTTCCTTAAATTGGGTTGCTTAACTTAGCTGTTTAGCCTGTCTGCATAATTAAATTGGTATTAAAGCAATAATCCGGACTACAGAAATCTAAAATAATCCCACCTAAATCACAAAGGGAACAACATGAATATTATTAGAAAAGAATTCCATTTGCCATATGCTTGCATAATAAATATCCCATATGTTTGTACAAAAGCAATCCATATTCAAATATGGTAGGTAAGAGGTACTTTTTTAAAGGTATTTTAAAATTCATCAGTCTGTTTCTCTTTCTAATAGTTTGCTCTTCCATTTAATTTAAAGATTGGATATTATTATGATGGGCAATAGGAGGATTTCCTATTTGGTTCCACTCACATGCCTAACTGCTTCTTAGCAAACAAGACACAAAAAAATTTTAAACATAAGAAAAATGGCAAATTATTTTAATTGTTAAAATGAAATCTAATATCATTTATTTATTTATTTTGTAATGGCATTGAGGCAGGATTGACGTTTGTGACAAACACAGAATTCTGAAGATTCGGTACATTTGAGAAGATTGGTGGATGAAAAAGATGATTGTGGGAAATGTGAAATGTCTCTTGCTCCTCCTCCTCCTGTTCTTGAGACCAGTGTTGGTTTCATGATCTTTACGTGTGGTGATAGTGGAAGCTGAAGTGATATAGAGCAGAGGTCACCAACCTTTGTCGATTGGCGGACTGGAGGAAAAGGGGGGAAGCATTTTACACACGTGCGTGCGTGTGGAGCTGCAAGCCACCACAAATGAGGTGGGGCTAGCATCTGCGTGACACTCACTAGCCCTACCCCATTCTTGTATGGCGCAGCGCCTTGTTTTTATGCCCCGCGGCAGCCGTTTTTGCGCCTTGCAGTGCGACAGCTCATTTTGGTGCCCCGTGGTGTGGCAGCACCCTGTTTCTGCGTTCCATGGGACGGCGGCATCCATTTTTGTACCTTGCAGAGTGGTGATGGCCCGTTTTTGCACCCCGCAGTGTGTTGGCAGCCTGTTTTCATGCCTTGTGGCACAGCATCAGCATCCCATTTTTGCCCCAAGGTGCGGCGTTGTCTCATTTTGGCACTCCGAAGCACAGTGGCAGCCTGTTTTTGCACCCCGTGGCCCTGGTGCTAGCACAAGTGAGAGGGTATGAGCGTACATGCACGCGCACTGGCCAACCTCTCCTGCAGCCAGGTGGCCAGTAGACCATGGTCCACTACTGGGCCAGGGCCCACAGGTTGGGGACCCCTGACATAGATCCATTTTTTGCACTTGCACGAACCTGAGTAAGCCAACTGAAAGCAAGAGTGTCTGACCTTGGCAACCTTAAAACTTGTGGACTTCAAGTCGCAGAATTCTCCAGTCAGCATTGCTAGCTGGGGAATTCTGGGAATTAAAATTCTCACGTCTTAAAGTTATCAAAGTTGCACACTTCTGGCTTAAAGTATGATGTTTTATAGCCACTGCACTGGAGAACAAAGTGGTTTCCTCACCTCTTTGGTCACAGTCTCTCAAAATATTTAGCAGTAAGTATTTATCATTTTTAATGTTTTAAAATAATAATTATTTGACATTACTGTGTTTTAACTTTGTTGTATGCCATCCAGAATCACCTGTTTTGAGAGATGGCAGACTACATAAATTTAAAATAAATACATAAATTCTCAAAACAGCTTTACAATGACTGTGAACATCGTTGGGTGGGTGGTATACATGATAAATGAAAATGGAAGGAATAGCAGATGCTTCCAGCAAATTATAAATGTGATTCAACATATTAGTACTGTATAGATGAGAAATGGCTTAATTATATCCCAGAATAGATTGAAGACTAGACATACATGATTTGAACAGCAGGAGTGCAGATGTGTACTGGGCATAAAAGCTACATACATGATTATATCTCTGACAGCAATGCAATATAGTCTCAATACCTCTGCAATTAATTAGAATGTAGCAGCTGATCATGTGAAATCAAAAGTGTACAGAATTACTGTATAAATCAGGAACACTACTCCAAAGTCTCAGATTCCAGTCATGGACTATAAATTGCAAAATAACACAGTACACGCAAGTCATGCTTTTAAAAAGGTCAGGGTTTTTTTGTACATGCCTTCCTTCTCAGATCATATAAAGATTTCTCAGATGGGAATTCCCTCAACAGTGTTGTAAGAAGGCACAAAGAAATTATGACTCAAGTAAACAGCTAATCACCTGCTACAGCTTTGTCACAGTTAAGGAAGTCACCTTCAGGTGAATTTATCTTTCGTGGTATGAGAAGTACTCACAATATTTCATCCTTATAAGGGGATGGTGGTGGAATGTTTGAAATGCTTCATTGATTCATTTTGTGCTTGTATATAAAGTATCTGTTCAGTTCACTGCTATAAGAATAATTGTAAGAATGGATTCAAGAGGAAAATACATTGTTTTTCCAACTCCTTAGGAAATGAGAATAAGTTCCTGGAGTTTAATTTATTGCTACAAAAGCAATCCTTCCATAGAATCTTAAGAGATAAATATGTAAAGCTGAGGTAACAAACTCAAAAAAATATCTGTCTTCAAGATGCCAAGAAACAAAAAAATCATGCCATAATGAATAATCTATATTTGTATGTGTGTGCTGTTCTTCTGAAGAATTTTTTTAAAAAATATATTTCTGCACTGCTTTCCATAAAATTATCTCTAAAAACATTTTCATAGCTAGGCACTGGATTTCTTTTCTTTAGCTTCTAGGAACCATTAGGTATAATTGATTGTATTTCCAATTTTATTGCCATAAGATACATTTTTCTTTGAATTCCATTTAAGCAAGAATAATTTGTTTGAAAAAATTACTGAAACTATTCTCCCTCAATATGAAAAGAATGCCACAACACATGAAGTATTCCAAATAAATTAACTTTGTAGAACTTTGTAACAAGCAAACTGTCTCTTGCATCACCACTGATGATATTGTTCTTTATAGAAATAAACAAATACCATTACATTCTGATCAGATGCCAAGTAAAATACTGCTTCTCAAAAACCATTTGTAGAAACAGGACAAATATACAAATAAGTAGTAGATCACTGCTGCATAAGGAAAAAAAAAACCAGTCAATTTAACTACCCCTGCTTCCTTAGAACCAGTGAGTATTTTGGAAAACCTTTCTATTTTCACTTACCACTTATTTATTAACTATCATATTTAAGTGGCCACTTATCTCACAAAATATGACTCTGGGCAGTAGAAAATAGTGGTCAGTGATTATGATCTTGGTATACTGGGATGTAAGAGGAATAAATGGTAACAAACGTGAATTAACAAATGAAACTAAGAAATAAAAATAAATATGTTTGTGAAACTAAAGAAAGGGAAAAAGGAGAACAGATCTAAAGGATGGTGATCATTTTTGAGTGTGGAGTCGATGAATGTGTGCGTGGAAGTGAAGGTACAGGTTTAGTAATGAGGGAGGGGAGAATAACAGAGCTGGAAGGGAGCTTAGAGGTCTTCTATCCCACCCCCTGCTCAACCAGGAAACCCTATTCCACTTCAGACAAATGGTTGTCCAATCTCTTCTTAAAAACTTCCAGTGTTGGAGAATTCACAACTTCTGGAGGCAAGTCGTCCCATTGATTAATTGTTCTCACTGTCAGGAAATTTCTCTTTAGTTCTAGGTTGCTTCTCTCCTTGTTTAGTTTAGTCTACAGTGATGCTATACAAGTAATCCTCAACTTACCCAATTTTTTGTTGCTAAGTGAGATATTCGTTAAGTTAATTTTGCCCCATTTTACAATTCCTTCTTGTCAGACTTGTTATCACTGCAGTTATTAAGTTAATAACATAGTTGTTAAGTGAATTTGGCTTTCCTATTGACTTTGCTTGTCAGACGGTCGCAAAAGGAGATCACCTTACACTGCAACCATCATAAATGTGAGTCAGTTCCCAAGCGTCTTAATTTTGATCACATGCCCATGGGAATGCTGCAACGGTCGTAAGTATGAAAAACAGTCATAAGTCATTTTTTTCAGTGCCATTGTAACTTTGAATAGTCACTAAATGAACTGTTGTAAGTCAAGGAATACCTGTATTAGCTTGCATATTTCATTTGTAACTCCTTCCCTTTCCTGTATTCTCCCACTTCTATTAGTGCATCCCATTCTTTATGCAGTCCCACATGCATGCACATTTGTTGTTGTTAATTGCGAAGTCGTGTCCGACCCATTGCGACCCCATGGACAACGTTCCTCCAGGTCTTCCTGTCCTCTACCATCTTCTGGAGTCCATTTAAGCTCACTCCTAC